GTCTCTCTGTCTCTCTGTCTCTCTGTCTCTCTGTCTCTCTGTCTCTCACTCAGAGGGTTGAGACACTCTGGTGCTCTCTGTACCAAGGCAGCAGCAGTGGAGGCACTGAATATCGTTACGACGGAAATCGATAAATTCTTGTTCGGCAGGGGTAATATGGAGAGGGTTATTGGGGGCAGATGGCAGTGTAGGACTGGAAAAGCAAATGGATCAGATCGAACAGGGGGAGTTGGCTCGAGGCACCGAGAGGGCTGTTTCTGCTCCTCTTCACGCGCAATAGAAAATTAATCACAAAATCTGGAATGGGGAGCTGGTCTCAGTGGCAGTTTGACCATGGAACAGTCATCGAGTGCTAGAAGAGTTAATCGGGTTTACTTATTCTCCCTATAGGGAAGGGGAAGCTGTCGTCCTTACCTGGTCCGGTCTCCACGTGACTCCAGACCAACAGTGATGTGGCTGACACTGGAATGGGCACTCCGTTACAAGGACAAGCAGGGTCAGGCGACAAACCCAGGCCACAGCAGTGACACCAATAACCCGAGGGTCAACGTTTTAACCCAAGACGGTCCCTGCACACCGGTGGAGCCTAGTCCCCGTGCCACTCCCCCCCCTCCCCTCCCAGAGTTGAAAAGCAGAATAGTGCGCCCAGGTTTTGAGGGTGGAAGCGAACGGGATCATAGACCCACGACGCAGGTACAAAACGCAGCCCTGCCCCACTCCAGGCCCCGCGCTTACCGAAGCCACTTCGTTTCCCGCCCCGTCAGCCTGCAGCTCGGATGTCTGTTCCACCGCCACCTCGGCCTCCAGGATTTTCTCCACAGGCATTTCATCGTTGGCCCCGCTGGTGGACTCCACCTCTTCGCCCCTCTCTCTGCTCCTCTGCCTCTCCTCCTGGACGGCTGCGGAAAGGAGCAGAGCTATCGCATTGGATAGGAATACACAGCGAATGAGTTAGGCCAACGTGCTGAAGTCCAGAGGAACGGGGTGGTGAGGAAGTCGGGGGGGGGGCGGTGGGGAAGAGGAGGGGGGGGCGGAAGGGGGGGCGGGGGAGGAGGATAAGAGGGATGGGGGCCGACAGATGGGGGAGCAAGAGAGATGTGGGGCAAGCGAGAAAGGTTGGGGTGGTGGGAAGACAGAGAGAACGCGAGGGTGAACACGGGAGGAGTGAGGCGGGTGGGAGAGGGGGGAAAGAGGTCAGCAAGTAGTGGGAGTTGGCAAGGGGCGGGGGGGAGGTGGGGGAGAGACAGCGGCGATGTGTTACCAGTGGGAGGAGAGGCAAAAGCAAGCTCGATTTGTCACTGTAAGGGGTAAGCTCACGCATTGGGAGGCGGTGCGGCTGTCGGGAGGGTGTGAGCAGGAAGTTGCGGCAGCGGGCGGGGGTGGGTTTTGGGATAGAGTACGGGTAATCAAACCTTGCCCCCGCTTCGGTACCTTCCCCGTCAGGGGGCAGAGCTAACCTTCTCGCTTCATGCCTGTGGCCAGGCACTTCTGGTAGCGGCAGTACTGGCAGCGGTTCCGTTGGCGTTTGTCGATCGTGCAGTCCTTACTGTCGCGGCAGGTGTAGGACAGATCCTTTCGCACTGTCCGCTTGAAGAAGCCTTTGCAACCCTCGCAGCTATAGACACCATAGTGTTTGCCTGTGTACAACACACATGACACAAGGTGGAAGTTAGACTTTCCTACGGGTTCCGAGCACAAGGCGCAATGATAAATGTCTTAAATCCTGAAGCACTCCCCCTGACATCTAAATAATGACCTAGCTCTGGGGGCATTTTAAACCCTTCATGAGCTCTAACGGATGTTGACTCCTCAGCTTGTTAAAACTCGTCCAAGTCTGACCGCTGACAAACTATTATTGAGCCAACAGGGCGGAAACATATGAAACATGTTTCGAATTAGACTCACTGGTTTGCCCTGTATGACCTGCACGTTTTAACCTAAACGATAGAAAGCAGACAAACCACGCCCTCTGTAATTCAGTGGGATGGCTGGTTGGTCTTCTAACATTCAACGGCTGCAATTGAACCGACTTGGACTTTAAACAGACTACATAATGACGGACTATTTCTTAAACCGTAAAGGCTCTGGAAATCGGAAGCACAAACGGTCTTGGGAGTCCTAGTTGAGGATTCTCTTAAGGTGAATATGCAGGTTCAGTTGGCAGTTAGGAAGACAAATGCAATGTTTTCATTCATTTCAAAAGGGGCAGAAACGAGAGCAAAGATGAGGCTGTATAAGGCTCTGCTCAGATCACATTTGGAATATTGTGGGCAGTTTTAGGCCTCATACCGGAGGAAGATGTGCTGGCCTTGGAAGGGGTTCAGAAGAGGTTTACTTAGCTGCCTGTCTCATAGAACCTTGTTGATCACAAATCTGCCTGAGTCAGCTTTGAATATATTGAAAGGCAGCCTGCACTGCTCTATGAAGAGAACTCCAAGGCCCTGAGAAGAAATTTCTCCTCAGCTCCATCAAAGACAGCAGGCTGCTTATTTCAAAACTGCGTCCCCCTTGTTTAAGACTCCATGAGAGGCCTCAAGCATCCACCCCATCAGCCCCTTACATGTTTCATTACATGTTACATGTAAGATCGCTTTTCATCCTGTTAAACTACAATGAGTACCAAGATGAGTACTTTCCTCTCGATGCAATGCTTCATCCCAAGAATCGGTCTACTGAACATTCTCTAAGCTGCTTCCTGTGTATCAGTCTCATCTCTGTCTGCTTACAACTGCGAGCAAGTTAAGTGTCTGTCACCTCACCCTACAACAGCAAGGAACTAGTGACACAGTGGGTGCAAATCGCAAGCCGACGACGGAGAGTCACATCCGACAGTGAAACAATACCACGTTGCCAGTGTTTTCAAAAAATATATTGTTCACGGGATTTGGGCATTGCTGGCTTGGCCGGTACTTATAACCCATCCCAACTTGCCTTGGAAAATTCTGCACAACTGCAGAATCAGCTCACTGCATTCGTATTCAATTCCCTTTTGTGATAGAATGGGTCAGCACGGTGGCTCAGTGGTTAGCACTGTTGCCTCACAGCGCCAGTGACCTGGGTTCGATTCCACCTTTGGGCGACCGTCTGTGTGGAGATCGCACATTCTCCCCGTGTCTGTGTGGGTTTCCTCCCAGAGTCCAAAGATGTGCAGGTTAGGTGGAATGGCTATGCTAAATTGCCCATAGTGCCCAAGGATGTGTAGGCTAGGTGCATGAGCTATGGGAGATGCAGGGTTACAGCGATAGGGCAGGGGGGTGGTTGTGTGTGGGATTCTCTTTGAACAGTTGGTTATAGACTTGATGGGCTGAATAGCCTGCTTCCACACTGTACGACTCTATTAAATGATTGCTGCCTTCTTTAACTGCTTGGGGTGGAGAGACAGCCAGCCACAGTGCTGTTAGGAAGAGAGTTCCAGGATTTTGATCTAGAGACAGTGAAGGAATGGTAATATAGTTTCAAATGATGAGGGGGATGTGGCTGGGGGGGGGGGGGAGTGACTAGATGGGCTGAATGGCCTGAAGAAAGAATAAACAAAAGGGGCAGCATGGTGGCTCAGTAGTTAGCACTGCTGCCTCACAGCGCCAGGGACCCGGGTTCGATTCCCCCGTTGGGCGACCGTCTGTGTGGAGTTTGCACATTCTCCCCGTGTCTGCGTGGGTTTCCTCTGATTTCCTCCCACAGTCCAAAGATGTGCAGGTTAGGGTGGATTGGCCATGCTAAATTGCCCATAGTGTTCAGGGATGTGTAGAATGGGTGGGATGCTCCGAGGGTCAGTGTGGACTTGTTGGACCAAAGAGCCTGTTTCCACACTGTAGGGATTCTATGATTCTTTCAGATGATGCTCACACTCATCTGCAGCCCTCATCCTTTCAGGTGGCAGAGGTACTGTCGAAGCAGCCTGGGTAAGTTACTGCAGGGCAAGTGCTGGTACACACTGTCGCCACTCCACATCAGTGACAAACGGAGCGATTGTCAAATGTACTGGATGTGGTGCCAGCCGAGAGGGCTGTATTATGCCGGATAGGGGTCGAGCTTCCAACATGTTACTGCTATCCAGGTGTGACAAAACAGAGGTCAACCACAACCCCCCACCCCTCTGTTAAATAAAATCGAAACATCCAGAGAAGCTTAAAAGGAAGTGTGAAAAGTGGTATAATCTGCCTCTCACCAC